GCAAAAAAGACCTAACAAGCAAGAAGAATCAGAGAGTCCTGTTGAAAGACCCTTGAAAGAGAACCCACCTAATAAAATGACCCAAGAGAAACTTGGTATAAATAGAGCATCTCAAAAATCACTTTATGACACACTTTAACATTAGTGGATTGTTGTTATAATGTAGTGGTCTCATACATACAGCACATCTCTGGGGGTGTCCTTATAGGAAGTCAGAGCTTGTTGTAGTATTAGGCAGGTAATAGTCAAATGTTATTTCTAACTTTTCTCAGGAAATGGAACGTAGACTTAATTTAGCCATTGGGTAAGGATGAGAAGATCTTTGTCCTTCCATAAGTAGGTTTTAGATGTTGAGTTGTGTTTTTATCAGTCATGTTCAGTATCAGTTCTAGAAAATGTTTTAATCTAGTGGGAGTTGTCCTGTTCTTTCACTCACACATACACATACATCTTTTTTGTTTGTTTGTTCCTTAGAAGAGTCAAGTTCCATTGGCCAGGATCAGACACTTATGGAGCGTGGTGTAGAGGGTGGTGCAGCAGAAATTAATTGCAATGGAGTAATTGAAGTCAGTAATTATACTGAGAACAGTAATAAAGAAACAATGAGGCTTGCAGAGGATCTCCATAATGCTAATGACTGTGATGTCCAAAATTTGAAGCAGGAACCTAGTTTCCTAAGCTCCCAAAATGGAGACAGCACATCTCAAGAAACAGACTCTTGCACACCTGCACCGCCAGAGGTGTCAGATACCATGGTGTGCCAGTCCTCAGCAACTGGAGACCAGTCATTCCGTGAGCAGCACATCAGCCAACTTCAGGAAAGCATCCGGGCAGAGATCCCTTGTGAAGAGGAGCACGAGGAAGGACAGAATGGGCCCCTGGACAACAAAGGTACTCGCGAGCCGTACTGCTCCAGCACTCACTCCCTGCGCAGCACATTTGTGCGTTTCTAGATGAACATACTGCTGTGCCAGCAGGGGACCACGCACCCTTCATGTGCAGACCCGTAGCTGACTTTCAGTGGTCTTCATCAGGGATGGGTACATAGCATTTCTCTGGGTCCTGTGAGCACAGGTATGTTTAATGCTAGAAACTGAGGGTGCTGCTGTATTCTCAGAAGTTTATTTTACATTGCCAACTGGGGGCCTACCTAGAACTCTCATCTTGGAGAACTTCATTACCCTTTGGGTATTTCTGTATTTATTGAACAGTTTTATTGATGGTACCTGTTGTCTGTAGGAAAATCCACTGCTGGAAATTTTCTTGTTAATCCCCTTGAGCCAAAAAATGCAGAAAAACTCAAAGTGAAGATTGCTGATCTTGGAAATGCCTGTTGGGTGGTAAGTTAAACTTGTCTCAGCCTGTTTTGAAGTCACTGTGCATGAGTGAAGATTTGGAGTTAGCTAAAGGGAAAACATCTGCAATTCTGTCTATATAGGGTTACTTAACATTTTAGTGAATTTTTTTCCTTCTTTTAAGCTTTTTGTATGGCAGAGTTGATGTATATTTTTGAAAGTAGGAAAAATTGTGTAGCCCAGAACTACCACTTACACATCACCCTGATTCAGCAATGTCATTTCAGGTCAATCTTATTTTATCTCTCTTTTATTTCACTTTCTTTTTTGTTTTTCTACCTGCGCAGCCCACCCTGAGGGGAGGGCCTGCCTGAGCTTTCCTAAGCAGGTGGTTTAGACCTCTGAGCTATCCAACTGGCCACCTCTTTCACTTTTATACTTCCATTTTATGTTCATATCCTCCCTTACCTCATTCCCAAAATTGACATCAAGCCTCAAAATTGTAACCACCTTTTAATTCACTCAGTATGTTTTAGACACTTGGTTATCAGGAATTTATATAAGATTCAGTTGATTATATATAATCTCTACACATTTTACAAATTTATTTCTTTAAGATATTGTTCACTGTATTGTATTTAATGAGTATATGTTACCTTTATCATTACTCAGGTATTGGAAGACTGAGTCCCACCAATCTCAGTCACAAATTTATTTATTTATTTATTTATTTATTTATTTATTTATTTATTTATTTATTGGTACCAGGAATCAAACTTGGTACCCTGAGCTTGCTAGATAAACGCTTATGCTGCTGAGCTACATCCCATTCTGTACACATTTTTTATTTATTTATTTATTCATTTATTTGTATTTTAGGGACAGGTCTACAGGGTGTTGGGGTGTTGAGGGTCTCACTACTAGTGATCCTCCCGTTTACAGCTTCCCAAGAGCTGGGATTACAGATCCGTACCACCACTCCCAGTCTCAATAGCCATCTCACTGTGCCCCGGGGGCGGGGCCCGCACAACAGTCCTGGGAATTGAGCCATCTGGCCGGCCCTGTACACATTTTTAATAGCTCTTTGTGATAAGACTCTTTGCTGTAGAATCTTTATGAAGTTGTCTTTAGATGCATCCTAGATACAGAATTATTGATCGAATTTTTTTTTTTTTTTTTTTTTTTTAGCTTTTTGATGTATAGTAACTTTTTTCTTTTTCATTTTCTTGAGATATGTCTTGATGAATTCCCAAGGCTGGCCTCAAACCCAAGATCTTCCCACCCCAGCCTGCCTGCTGAGTAGGTGGGATTACAGAAATGCATCACAGTGCTTGACTTGCTTATTTTTAACTATGTATAATTACATGTAATTACAAATAATTACACGTTACATGTTTTAGTGTTTAATGTCATATTTTCCCAAAAGAGTATATGAATTTTCTACCTTTAACAATTCTGAAAAGTATTTTTACTCTCCAGTCTTAAGGTTAAATAGTTGCAGTCTTCATTTTAATTGGCAAATTATGTTATTAATAGTTTCGCTTATGTACCTAGTTAGGAAAGTTTTGGGAGTTGTTTTTTTAAAGAAAGGTTTGCATATGAATGATTCTGCTCTGAGAACTCTGTAAAGTTGGAAATGGTCCAGACCTTAGTACAGACACATTTATTATGGAACCCTTTTCGCATGCTCTCTCGCTCTCTCACTCTCTCGCTCTCTCGCTCTCACTGTGTAGTTCGGGCTAGCCTTGAACTCTCTATGTAGGCCAGACTGGTCTCCATTTAGCTGTAATCCTCCTCTCCTACCTTCTGAGCGCTGGGATTACAGGCGTGCATCGCCCTGCCTGGCTCTTTACTGGGGAATGTTATGAGCAGCTCTTAGGAGACAGTGATGAGTGTCCATCCCCTCCACTAGCTTCCAGGCCTGGCCACAGAGGCTTCCCTGGATGGCTGTAGTTGTCTCTTCACTTTTCCCTTCTGCTGAAGCCCCCTGTGGACTGTCTATAGATGAGTAAGTCAGATGTTCTCTAGTCCTTGTAGTGACGCCCCCCTAAAAAGGAGTACCAGAGTGCTACCATGGCCCAAGCACCACCGAGCAGAGAGTACTTTCTGCTCCTCCTCTTGGCATCTTCTTCCCAAAATACTGTGCTCAGCTTTAATTTAAAAGTCACCTTACAATACTCTGGTTTCTCTTTAAATCGTATAAATCTTTCGCCTTTTTAAAAGTCACCTTACAGGGAAATCTCTCCTGAAACCCAGTACAATGGAACTTGTTGTAAACATATACCTTTATTATCTTTGTGTGTTTGCTTTCTCTTCCTCTCCACTCACAAAACACAATCTGATATTGTTTAATATCTCAGGAATGTGCATATCATATATGTGTTTTTTTTTCAAAGTTTTATTGATAAACAGCAATGAGACAGTTTCAAATCAAATCGGAAGTACAGTTTCAACAAATATTACACTGCATATATTCTTCTTAGTGGTTAATTGCTGTACAAGATGCAGACTTGTGATCCTATTTACAAGAATTTATTACTATTTTTTTTTTTTTTGCTCCTTGAATGCCTTCAGGGCAGGTTTCGCTGGCTGGAGTGTTGTGGGGATCGAACTACAGCAACCTGAGGTGCCAGCATTGTGGAAGCAGCCACTTAAAGAAGGGAGCTAAGGCCAGGGCCCCAAAAATGGAATAAGGGTTTTTTCTTTTTTTGGTTCCTCGAATGCCTTCAGGGCACTTTTGGCCAGCGGGAGAGTTGTGAGGTTCGAACTCCAGCAACCTGAGGCTGACAGCTTTGTGGAAGCAGCCACTTAAAGGCCTGAGCTAGGGCCAGGCCCCCCTTTATATGTGTTTTTTTTACTAAGTATCTGTGGTACTTAGAGCAGTGCCTCGTACATAGTAGATACTCAGGTAAATGAATTGGGGAGAAAAGCACAGAGTGTACTTAGTGCTCCGGCTAAGCCCATCACCCTGTAGTGTACTCTTCTTTATTCTGGTAAATCTTTCCTTTCCCGTTTACTATAGCAAGGGTAATCTCTCTTCAGCTATTACATGCATGTCCGTCTCCATCTCTCTGTTAAAATGACACTCATTCTTTTTTTTTTTTAATTTAAAAAGTTTGACATTTCTTCAGAAATTTTACATTTTTCACAGACGTTAACAACCAATTCTTTTTGACACTCATTCTTAACCCACTCATTCGTTCAGCAAACATACTGGCAATTCCTGACCTGGGTATGAGGATATCTCCACTAGTTAGATCCTGGTCTTATTTTACTTTCTAGTGGTCTTTTCAGCATTTGGCATTCAGTAATAGACTTGAACATAATTTTCAAAAAGTTTGATTTTTTTTTTAAAGATACTATACAATTTTTTTAAAGATACTATACTTCTTTTGCTATCAATTATACATGTAAGTAGTTCAGAGATAGTTGTACAGATTTTTTTTAAACTTTTATTTATTTTTGACTCCTGATTTTATTATTCAATTTTCTTTTTTCTATTTAAAGTAGTCTTAAGTGACTGGGAATCCTGTCCTCCCAAAACCAGAGTCAGTGGAGCTGGTTGTTGGTGAAGAGGGAATGGGCTTGGGGCTGGGAAGGGTAGGGAGACCCTGTTCTCCTGGCGATCCTGGGTGGAGAAGTCAGACTGCACTTCATAGACCCTGGGTGTAGTGGGAAGGGACGAGGCAGGAGCAGCAAGCTGGGGTTATGTACAGATTTTAATTTTTTTTGTTTGTTTTTATGGAACCAGGGATTGAACTCAGGCCCTTGTGCTTGCCAGGCAAGTGCTTTTTCTACTGAGCCATCTCTCCAGCCCCAAGATTTTAATTTTTAAAAAATGCCCCTCCTTTGCCAATTTTTCATTCCCCATGACTGCATTTGCCATTATATTAGTAATACTAGGTAGGATAAAAAAATATAGAGGAGTGGTCTGGTGAGATAGCACAGTAGAATAAGCACTTGCCTGGCAAGCTCAAGGTCCTGAGTTCAGTCCCTGGTACCACAAACAAAACAAAAAATATAGAGGATAGGACCTGCCTGCTAGCTCAGTGGACTAAAGCACCTGCTTAGGCAGAGCGCAGTGGCCAGTGTTGGATCCCTGACCCCGCCCCCTCTGGGGGGGGGGGGCTGAGATGCCAGTTGAGACTGGGTGTGGTGGCATGTGCCTGTAATCCCAGCACTTGGGAGACTGAAAACAGGAAAGTCACGATGAGTCTGATCTATGTAGTGAGACCCTGAACACCCTATAGACCCTGCCCTAAATACAAAAATATATATAGAGAGAGAATGTTTACCTTTTTAAAAACGATTTTAAGACCGTTAAAAAACACACTGCCTTTAATTGCCCTTAAAATACTTGCTTGGAAGACACTTTGACCATTGTCCTTGCCACTTTCCTGAGTATGTTTTCCTGAGTGTCTTTAGTTACATGTGAGAGCTGCCTCACTGTTCTGAATTGATTCAAAATGCTTACCTTCATGGTCATTTTGCTTTGGGGAGAAGCCCGAAGCCGCACAGTGCCAGGTGCAGTAAGGTGGGTGGGGAGCCCTGTGGTGGTTTTCCAGGCCTGCTGTTCTGTTGGATGGCCGTTGGCAGCAGATCCTCATAAAGACATGCTGAGTATTTCTTCCTGGAAAACTGCACTTAGCTGCTTACCGCTGCACCAATCACCTGTATTTCAAATGTCATACTTTTAACTAGCCAATATTTCATGTTCGTATTATTGTGATGTTCATGCTGTCCTCAGTTGAACTGAATATATATTTAATTTCTTTTCCTTTCTGCATAACACTGTTTGGTTTGATTAGTTTCTTTATAGTATTTTTCACTTATTTCAGTCCCATACTTTCACTCAGCGATATAAGTACATCTTTCTTCCCCCCCACACTGGAGATCAAACCTGAGAACTCAGACGTGCTAGAGCTATAAGCCAGAGTCTGTTCTGATTCTGGATATTTTATGAAACCTTTCCATGTTGTATGAGTCAGTAGGATCCTCATTTCACAGTTTTGTGCCCCAAGAAGTCTGTTTCCCACCCTGTGCTAAGATCTTTCAGTATTGAAACTGGTTCTTAAGATCTCTACTTCTGAAATCCCATTACTCAAAGGTCAGACCTTCCATACAGATCTTTTCTTAAGTTTCTCACTATTTTCCATCATTTGCTTCTTGCTGTATTTTCTGGACAAATTTCTCAACTTTGCCTTAGTTGACTTCATTGTTTAGCTTCACTGTTTCTCACTTCTCTTATTTTATTTTCTTTCTTTTTTTTTTTTTAATTTTATTTATTTATGTGTGTGAGTGTGTGTGTGGCCAGCTCAGCCCACCAGGGGGCGGGGCTGACTGGCATGTGGTGCTGGGGGATTGAACCGTGGTCCCTTTGTTTTTGCTAAGCTTGTTCTAAGTAGGTGCTTTAAACCACTGAGCCATCTCACCAGCCCCTCTTATTTTATTTTCACTTTCTAAGAATTTTCTTTTCCTAGAAACTTTTTTTTTTTTTTT